TACTCATTTGGGCTTACTGGTGGTTTTGAAGTTTTGTGACAAGGCTTGAGCTGGCAGGGATGGAGAGTAGGGCTTGCAACATTCCCATGAGGACTGCTTTGATCAGTGGGCCTTGAAGTTGCTATAATAATTGAATTTGATATTGTTATAAAAACAGTTATTGGTATTCTAATTTAGAAATGAATGGTGTTTGTAAACTAATGATTGTGTCAGGATTTTATATAAAAATAAAACACACACAAAGTGCTAGATGGCTGCAAGTTATCAGAGGAAATACCTTGTTTTGGTAGAACTTGACCACCAACCCAGGAGTTCCTTTAATGTATGTACTTATTTTTAGGCTTGCCCCATCCAGAAGTTGAGGATGTGTTGTCTAACAAAGGTCTGGGCTTCCCAGGTTCAGAAATGTACCTCTGTCAGGAGACAGCAGGGGTAGGCTTCTGCACACTAATGGTGGTGTTAACCACAGGCCAGTGTCCTTGAGGCAGAATGTGTGTGCTCTTATATATATGATGGAGTTTTGTGCTAATCATTTTTTTTAACATTTTTTTGAGAAGTTTCCATGTTTTTGTATGTAAATCCAGTTTATTTATTCTGACTCTACTATATAATATGCTATCATGTTTTTATAAATCTGTTCTTATTTAAAAATATATTCTGATTGATTTTTTTTTAAGAGAGAGAGGAAGGGAGAGAGGGAAACATTGATTGGCTGCCCCATGTACTCCCCTATTGGGGATTGAGCCCACAACCTGGGCATGCTCCCTGACTGGGAATTGAACCAGCGACCTCTTGGTTACGTCAGTGCTCAACCGCTGAGCCACACTGGCTGGGCTATGCTGTAATATTTTATAGACCCTGTAGATTGCTGTCAGCTATACAATCATCAGTAATACTTCAGTAAACATTCTTTTCCCCTTTAGTTCTATGTGAGAATTTCTTAGTTATATATCTCTGAAGAATTGTTGGGCCACTGAATATTATATGCATTTTAATTTCACAAAATTTCAGCTCTCTGAGATGGCTGCTATCAGATTACAAACTCCCTTTAGAGTGCATGATACAGCAAGGGCTTTAATTCATTACTTGGATAAAAGGAACAAATTAGGAATATAATTCCTTGATCTAGGTTTTGGTTATATGAGAAAGTTTCTTCAAACTAGTTTTTAGTAATATTATTAAAAGCCTTTATTCTTCATTATCCTTTTTTTATTTTCTTTCAGTAATGTTAGGTAGTTATAAGGAGCATAGTTATTTAAAGGATGTCTTCATAATGCCTACATTAATTATGATAAAGTTATGAAAATACTCTAAATATTACGATTTTTGTGTTTCATTTTGTAGGGCGCCAATGCCTCGGCATTAGAGAAAGAGATTGGTCCAGAACAGTTTCCAGTCAATGAGCACTATTTTGGATTAGTCAATGTAAGTATTCATTGATGCTTAGCCTTCAGAATTATGGTTGGAAGTAGTTTTAAAAAATGATGAATGCATTTCATAATTTATTAAAGAAAACATGTTCATTTATATCAGTAGACTTAATGCCAAGAAACTTGATTTGGAATTTTGAATTTATCTTTAATGGAAGGGAACAAAATTATCTGATGACTTAAGTGCCTTAGAAATAGAATAGTTTCTACTTATAAGTCTGATGTTTCCTATTTTACGTCAAAATTTTCTCATAACCAAAATTTCATGTGGCTTAGACCAAATGATCTCTTGATTCTTTCAGACTTATTTAAAGTCTACATATAAGTGTTCCAAATAGTTTAGTTCTACTAATATAAATGTAAAGTACAAAGTATAGGGGAGAAATACACCCTCAATCCTTGTGGAGGTAATTCTAGTAATTATACATTATTGAAACTTTGGAAGAACCTGCTTTAGAATTTTTAACTCTTCTGCAACATCAGAAAACACCACAAATCTGTGTTATATAATTGTTGTGGTAATTTATATACTGTTATACTATACTGTTAGGTGGATCCATGGTGAGTATTTAAAAATATACTATATATGATGGTACAGGTAATTAAGTTAAATTGAACAAAATTGGTTTGTTGCTAAATACTAGTCTGTAATTACGATGTATGAGATAGATTTCTTGTGTGATTTGGGAAAAGCAGTTGGAGTGACATGTATGCCCTCCGCTGCTCTGGGAATCACGTTTGCAAATGTAAAGCTTATAACAAAGAATCGGCAATATCCACTCACTAGCCCCTCTGCAGCGAAGACTACTTATTACTCCTCAGACTATTTTTTTCTGGAATTTATCCTTAAATTATAAATAAAGTGTTTATACTTCTATTTTTAAAATTCTGCTATTTTTTTTTTTAAAAAATCTATGATTTCCTGATAGGATAGATAAGAAGTTTAGTTTTTTACTTCTACCACCATCCCCTGCTGCCCCCTGCTTTACTTTCCGCCATTCTCCCAATATGGAATTAACCATTGCTTTATTTTTCCATTTCCTTAATTTCCATTTACTCTTCCAGGTAATCTTCATCAGAGCTAAAAAACAAAACAAAAAGAATTTCTCAATACCAGTTTTCACAGAACATGTCCATCAGGCAAACTCTTCCTTCCCTGGAGCCCTCTGTCCTTTTGTGTAGCCATTGCCTGCCATTCCTTTTCCACCACTTGGACATTCCCTTCACGTTTTGCCTTTTCTAGATTCTATTTTCTTTTCCAGTTTTCTCACATTCTACAGTAGCTTCTTTAGGAAATGTACATGGGAGATAAAGTTTGAGATCCTTGTGTATGTAAAATTTTAAAAAATATATAATTTTATTGATTTCAGAGAGGAAGGGAGAGAGGAAGAGAGAGAGAAACATCAATGATGAGAGAGAATCACTAATCAGCTGCTTCCTGAATGCCCCACACTGGGGATCGAGCCTGCAACCCAGGCATGTGCCCTGACTGGGAATCGAACCTTGACCTCCTGGTTCATAGGTCGACATTCAACCACTGAGCCATGCTGGCTGGGCTAAAAACATTTTTGTTATTGTAACAACTACATACAGATTTTAGGTTATAACCTTCCTTAGGAATTTTTAAGGCCTTATTCTATTATTTTCTGACTTCTGTTGAGAGGGCTAATGCCATTCTGGTTCTTGATCTCTTCTGTATGTGGCTTTCTCCCATTTAAAAATTCGGTCGTGTGGCTTTTAGGATGCTCTGTATCTACTGTTCACAATGTTCTGAGTTTTCATGTGTCTTGATCTCCTCCCTCTCATTATTTCATTGGGCATTTATGTACCTTTTCAGACTGATGTTTCATTTTCCTTAGCTCTGGAACATTTCTGATACTATTATTTGAATAATTTCTTTTCAGTTAATATAATTTCTCTGTTCTGTCTTTTTTTTATAATACTGTTAGATGCATATTGAAACACTTAGACTGATTCTCTATATTCCCACCCCCCCCCCTTATTTTTGGTCATCCTCCTTTTTAATTCTGCATTTTAGACAATTTCTTTGACTTTTTTTCAACTCATTACACTTTTTATTTCTTAGAATGTTACTTTTGTGTGTGTGTTTTTAATCTTGTTTCACGAAGGCAGTATTTTCTGTTATTTTTCTCAGGTTAGTATTTATAGTTTTTGTTGTTGCTGAAGTTTTCTGATACTTACTGGATTGTTTCTGAGACCTCTAAGTTCATTGCCCCACCCCATTTTAAACTTTGCTTTTTCTATTAGAAACTTTCCTCAAATTTAATTCATATATAAAAGTAAAATTCTAAAAAAGCTGATTGGGGTATTATGGGTAGAACTTGTCTATTATGAGTTTCACTTAAAGCAGGCTTTTAAGAAAATAGCTTCCTGTCCATTTCCTCCCCCTCCCCCCGCCCCAACCTGCCCCAATTTTATTAGCTATAGGGTTTTCTTTGGGGCTATTTGTTTCCCCTTCCAGTCTCCATCTAGGAGTGGCTTAAGTTGGGCCTTCAGTCCTCTCTTTCCTGTCATTGTCTCACTGGTGCCCTTAAAGATAATGGACCAGTGGTCTTCTGGTCAACTTCTGTGGAGCCTAAACCTGTAGTTGAAAGACAAGTTAAGTGCCTGGGGGTTGAAATGGCCCTTTTAAAAACAAACAAACAAACAAAAGACCTTTATTTATTGTTGATTTTTAGAGAGAGTAAGGTGGGAGGGGGGAGAAATAAATTTATTGTTCCACTTATTTATTCATTCATTGGTTGATTCTTGTATGTGCCCTGACTGGGGATTGAACCTTCAACCTTGGTGTACTGGGATGATGCTCTAACCAACTGAGCTTGAAATGCTTCTTCTAAGGACTTATACCAGACTTGTGATTTTAGATGCAGCTTCCCCTCCCTGCAAAATCCCCAGGTTTACAGGTGTGAATCAGTTTGGGTCTTTTTTGGTTGTCTGTCCCTTACAGGCACTTGGGCTTCTACTTTTTCTCCATCTGCCTTTTATCTTCTGTAAGTCCATTGATATCTCAGGTCTGTGGTTATCTTCTTAGGCCTTTTGAGGTTTTCCCTAATCTATTCTTTTACTGTCATTTTATTTGACATGTGGAGTAGAATTAAGAGTATATTTAATATACTTTGTTTAATGAGAAGTCTAGCCTCTACTTTTAGTATCTAATATGTTCATGCTTACATGTGGAGTTGCCCAGTGATCACAAGCCTCATTTTAATTCTGAGGATGACAGTTTCTTTGGTGACTGTCACCTTTGTTTGGTTTCCAATGTTAATATGTGTATTGAATTGTAGTAAAGTTGTGCCCATTAATAGTTTCCCGAAAGAACCATTTTTTAAAGAACAATAGTATTATATATTGAAAGTTGTTTTGCTTTAACCTTTGCCAGTATAAATACAGGCTGGGCCCAGCTGGTGTGGCTCAGTGGTTGAGCGTTGTTGGTTCGATACCCGGTCAGGGGGCAGCCAATTGATGTTCACATTTCTCTCTCATTGATTTTTTTCTCTCCCTTTCTAAAATCAATTTTTAAAAAGCCCCACATGGGGCAAAAGTAAATTTACAGTTGTTTAGATGGAAAAAAATACAATAGTCTATATATATAAAAGGCTAATATGCAAATAGACTGGAACAACTGGAACAACCAAACAACTGGTCGCTATGATGTGCACTGACCCATCAGGGGGTACATGTGGAATATGGCAGGGTGTCGGCAGCAGGTGGCAGAGCGTGGAACATGGTGGGCATCGGGTGCGGTGGGATGGTGGAACAAGTGAACACCAGACCAAAGCGGGGCGCTGGTCGCTGTCATCGGGGCGAGCCTCTGGTGGTTACTGAAAGTTCTTTGCTCCCATGTGCCACAGTCCTGCTTAGTGCTTTCACCTGTTGCTGGTGCTAGCCCCACTCGCACCCACTTCTGGTGCCGTAGCTGCCACTCACCCCCATTGCCGGTGCCCAGCACTAGCCCCGATCGCTTGGCACCATCAGTGGGTGCAAGTGGCGGCTACTGGCCCCCATCACCCCTCAAGGCTTTTTCCACCTTCCCCTGCTCCTGGGGGCTGATTTGGCCAGCAGCTGCCTCTCGCACCCGCTGCCGGCGATGACCCTGCTCACACTCACAGTTGGTGCTGGAGCCGCCACTTGCACCCACTGCTGGCGCCCGGCGCCAGTCCCGATAGCTCGGCACCATCAGCGGTTGCGAGCAGAGGTTGCTCACCCTGACTGCACCTGAGGGCTTCTCCAGCTCCCCCTGCTCCTGAGGGACAGTTGAGGCAGCAGCTGCTGCTGGCACTGCTGACAGCGCCAGCCCCCATCACTTCACCCCGTCAGCAGGTGCGAGCAGGGCGGGCACCATCAACACGTGGGAGCAGTGACAGTGGGAGCGGGGCTGCTGGCAGACAGGAGACCAGGAGGCGCAGCAGGAAGGGCCGTGTGGGAGCACAGAGGATGGGCCAAGACCCACCCCTGTGCCCAACACAGCCTTGCGGTCCACAGTTCCTTTCAGGGTGCACGGATATATGCACTGGGTCCCTAGTCCTAGCTAATAAAGAGGGAATATGCTAATTGACACAGTTGCAAAGATGGTGGCACCCACAGCCAATAAGGAGGGAATATGCTAATTGACTGATACGCCCTCAAAGATGGCGGTGCCCACAGCCACAAGATGGCAGCGCCCAGTCCCCTCAGCCCTGCTGGGGCGGCAGGCGTGCAGGAAGGCTGGGCCCACCCCCAGGCAGGCCTGGCCACTCTGTGCGCCTGCCTCTGGAGTCCCGCAGTCCCCTCAGCCTCTCAGCCCCCCAGCTTCTCAGGGTTGGCCTGAGGTGCAGGTAACCAGGGCCAGCAGAGGCTTGAGCTGCCGGCAGTGGCAGCAGCAGAGGTGTGTTGGGGCATCGCCTTCCCCTGATCACCGGGTCGCCTCTCGCCCCTGAGGGCTCCCGGACTGTGAGAGGGGGCAGGCTGGGCTGAGGGGCCCCCACTCCAGTGCAT